TCTAGCGAGTTTTAGATTCACATTTCATGTGTTTCTCGTCACTTAAAATTTCCAGCCCCTCAAGAATAATGATTTTCATTACCGGTTTCGTGAGTCAAGGGAGAGCGGGCAGCACACACTGTTGCTGTTCTTTGTTATCTGCTGTGTTTTTTGTTTATGGCAGGAAGTTTGATTGAGCGAGAGTGAGTGGTGCAGTGGCCTTGGATTACAATAGATCCTTGCCATTCGTGGGTTTGCAATTCGCGATTTCAACGATTCGCGGTAACCAGATGGTGGCCAGCTTGCGAGCCTTTTCCCGCAACGAGTCACCCCACGTGCCTGCAATGTCTCCTCTCCCTCTATTTGCGGTCAACCATTGCCTGTGACACAGCATCTAGAGTTGTACTCTCAAAACTTCAGTGTTTCTGTGTGAAATGGCCCTTAAAAGACTGCCTCGTGTCAGTGCTAGTGATGCTAGTGGAGTGAAATGTAAAAGGCAGAACTCAGAGATGACCCTGACAAAGAAAGTTAAATTACTAGATAAGTTAAAAGAGGGGATGAGTGCTGCTGTGGCTGGTCGGTTGTTAGATATTGGTCTGCAGTAGTGCACCCCCTAGTGTAAGTTGCTCTTCGTAGCTTTGCCTAATTGTGCCATTTCTGGGAACCTAACCCCCGCGAATAACAGGGTTTACTCTATATAACCCACTGTGCTTATGTTTTGCAAGATTCTTGTGTAACTATTAACGATTCTTGTGTATTAACGATGAGTGATGTGCGTAATGTAAACGACGAAAGCAGTTCTGGTGGTAATGATGGCCGTAGGTGACGGTCACCATGGTCAACAAGGAAAGCCCCATACCAAACGTGACTACCGTGTGTTGCCAAAGTAAGAGCAACAATTGAGACCTGCAATTGTGTGTAACTGAGGTAGAAAGTCAGATCAGCAACCTGGGACTTGGTCACAATTTTGGTGATGCCATATGGCAGCAGGGTCTACCATTAGACAATTCATTATGCTTCCAATATCTTCCCTGGCGGTAGTACCTCCCTGTTTGATAGCTGCCTACTACCTTATCGGTTGATGTCGTAGCAGCAGAAAACTATCTACCTGTCTTTCAAGCTCTTGAGAAAGAGGGTGGCTATTGCAGAGACCAGATCTTCAATTGTGATGTAACTGGCATTTTCTGGAAGCGCTCACCTAAGACCACTTTCATTGTTGAGGATGAAAAACAGGTAAGGGGGTGTGAAGACTTCAAAGAACAGGATTACAGTTTTATTCACAGCTAATGCAAGTGGAGATTTCATGATGAAACCCCTGGGTGTTGACCGTGCTGTCCGCCCTAAAGCCTATCGTCATGCCAATATGTCGCAGCTAAATGTTTATTGGACATATACTAAGATAGCTTGGGTTACAACGTCTTTATGCACCGATTGGTTTGACAAGCACTTTGTTCCTGATGCCCAACAGTACTGTTGGAGAGAGAACATTGACTTCAAAGTGATCCTGGTGATGGATAATGCTCCTGGACACACTTAAGTTTCTAATTGGATGCCACCCTAATGTACAAGTTATCTTCCTTCCCCCTAACACCACATCACTTCTGCAGCCACTTGACCATGAATTCCTCAGTTATGCTAAGCTGTTCTACTATCGTCAGCAGACAGACTCATTAGTTGAGTTACAACAAATCGAGGCAGAACTCTGACAGTGACCTGGCTATACCAGCACCAGCTAACCAAGAGGAGGAGGAGATGGTAGACAACTCGACTCCTAGCACCTCACACGCACCACCCCACAACCGTGAAGTGTTATCGGTTTTTAAATTTTGGAAGAAATATAATATTAAAAATGTAGTGGACAGAATTGTTTGGGCATTGCAACAACAGTGCTATACACATGGAAGCCTTTGTTTGCTAACCCCGAGGTAAGTGGGGCAGAGCAGACCGACAAGCGGGGAGAGGCAGTTTGAAGCGGCAACACTAATGGACACGGTGGAGGCAGCGCGGTCTGTCCTGGCATCAGGATTTTTGGATATTCAAATTGAAGATTTGCAAGAAATCATTGGTCAACATCAGCAGCAGTTGACAATTGAAGAAATATTGGAGGAGGATGAAGATCAACAAGAACAGCAAGCAACACAAAAGGATGACGTTAAGCCTGGTGAACCTACAACACGGCAGCTGACCGAGATGCTCACAAACATCACACATTTCAGTGAACAGCTAGAAGAATACGATACCAGGCCTCATGCTCATAACTATACCTGCCCTGTCATTCATAAGGTTATGAGGAATATAAGGCCTTGTACATGTCCCGTGTTAATGCTATAGAGAGAGAGAGAGAGCTCTCGCTCTCTCCCCGGAATTTTTCCGGTAACCGTGAAAAGTTTCTCAGAATTTTCTAGAAATGTGCATTATATTGCTTCTTAAAGAAACAATCCTCCATCCCTGGAATTTTTCCGGGTACGGGGAAAATTTTCTAAGAATTTCTGGAAAATGCGCGTTATAGCATCTCTCAAACCCGGAAAGAATCTCCCCATCCCTGAAATCTTTCTGGGTACTGGGAGGAATTTCTCGGAAGTTCCAGAAATTGTGCACCTTGGTAAATCACTTCCTGACTTGGAAATTGCAAGAAAATTTCAATTCCGGTTATCAGAGAGTTCTGACTAAGGGATTATGGCTATTGGAGATATTACTTATATATCTCACCTTGTTTCCTGTCATGATATCCCCACTATCTCCTAAGCTTTTTTCTCCCCTTTTCTCTTCCCGACCTCTGCTATGCTTGAACACCCTTTGTTTATAACATGAATAATCTTCTGAATAATTGGTGATCGATAATCTCACTCTAGTTCTCTTCTCATGAGAGTAAGGGAAGCGGTATTTCATCCAAGGAACTGGGGGAACTCAGGTTAATTTGATTATACAGTACAGGTCCACAATCCCTTATCCGCAATTCTGAAATCCGAAAAGCTCTGAAAACCGAAAACAAAATTTCGTGTAGCACCACTCGTGTGCATGACGTACCCAGAGTGACGCCGAACATGACCCGATGTGGCCGAAGCTTGACCCACGCAGGTGTGAGGCGTCAGTTGTATCTCGGCCCTGCTACCAGCCACACGTGCGTCTGCTGCTCTCTGATATTTTTTTTTTATTTTGAGTTTAATTTCACTATGAAAATGTCAAAAAGAGCTTCAAATACCCCAATGGGTAACAGTGAGAAGAAGAAAAGGAAGCATCTCTCATGGCCGAAGCTTGACCCACGCAGGTGTGAGGCGTCAGTTGTATCTCGGCCCTGCTACCAGCCACACGTGCGTCTGCTGCTCTCTGATATTTTTTTTTTATTTTGAGTTTAATTTCACTATGAAAATGTCAAAAAGAGCTTCAAATAGCCCAATGGGTAACAGTGAGAAGAAGAAAAGGAAGCATCTCTCATTATCGATAGCACAGAAAGTGGAGTCATCACAGAAGCTTGATCGTGGTGTGCCTGTAGAAATAAACCAATTTTTATATAATTCAGAATTTGCCATATTTCAGGAAGGGTAGAGCCCCTGTTACATGAATTATGGAGGTTTTACTGTACTTTTATTATTGAACCTAACTAATCTACATTGATTGTGAATATACAAGTGTATTTAGTTAATGATTGGAGCACAAGCTTCTGTCTTTGAATTACTTGTTTGAAATTAGATTGATTTTGCTTTTGAAATGTGGTATCTAGTTGTTGCATTTTCATATAGCATTTGGTTTACAATATATGTATGTTATGTTATGATTTATTTATTTACAGTTTATATTTGTACAAAAAAAAGTATCATGAAATTCTAAGAGCCAAAGTGTTTAAGTTTCTTAATTTTTAGATTATATGATATTAGATAATACTGTAATTTATATCTGATTATAATGCATTATTGGATAAGTTATTATTAATGTGAAAGTTTTTATTAAATACTTCGTGTGATTATGGTTGCATATACAGTGGTCTCTCGATTAACGAATAGTTCAATTAACAAAATTTCTCTTAACGAATTAGCTCCCAAAAGGATTTTCAATTCCATTAACGAATAAAACTTTGATTAACGACAGCCTTACGAGAAACACACCTTGATGTGCACATCAGCTGATCAGCTAGTCCGCCAATACAGTAATTAGTTCTATGTTTACATTCGTTTCCAGTGGATTAAATAGCAATCAAGTTGTGCCCTATAATATTTTTTAATTTTTTTACATTAAAATTATTGGTCATTCTGAAATTTAGCTAACATACAGTACAGGAAACAGTTTTTGTGTGCCCATCAGCTGATCGAATCACCCACCAACGCTTCTCAGTTTAACTTTGTTTACAGTGGAGTGAGCATCCAGTTTGTTGGTCTCTTGAATATTTTTGCATTTTTACATTGAAATTATTGGTCATTCTTAAATTTAGTTAACATATTGATAATATACAGTGCAGAAATTATTATGAAACATGAAGAAGGCATTAGAACCAATGCACTCTGTAAGAATATGGCATGTCATCAATGACTGCCGCTACAATCAGCTGTTTGATATGTGTCGGTAAACAAAGCTGCCGGGAATACGACATACACACCTCAAAGTAAGTTAAAATACAGTACAGTATTCTATTGTTTTTTATTTATTATTGTACAGTACAGTATACTGTGCAGTACAGTACTGTATTTAGTTTATATTTAATGTTTTGTTAATTCTATTACCGGTTTACAGTACTTTGTATGTCTACTTTTTCTGTAAGTTGGAACCAGTTACCCAATATCCCATTGAAATAATAGATTCGGTTAACAAAATTTTCGGTTAACAAACGACTCTGTGGAACCAATTGTGTTCGCTAATCGAGGGACTACTGTAGTTTTGTGATTGTCTTACAGAATCACATGCATTTTAAGGAAGCTGTGTTGAATATATTGTGTTTATGCTCATAAATTGTAATAAAGAAGTCAGTAACCTCCCCCAAAAATTGCTTACTTGGAAGTAATTGAAAATTGTATTATGCACCAATTCAGCTTTGCCCACGGATATGCTGAGTGGCCATCGCACAAGGTTCTACAAACAGTTTAAGCAGCTTCAGCAATTTTATAACAACACCCGAAATCTTCAGTACTTCAAGGGGCTGATTCAAGTGCCAGCCTTACCTGAGGTAATATCAAGATTAATTTTAGTAAAAAAGGCATTTTGTTATTACACGACAGAGTTATTGTTATCATCAGTTACTTGGATATGTGTGCGTGCGTGCGTGCGTGCGTGCGTGCGTGCGTGCTTGCGTGCGTGCGTGTTTGTTTTAAAAGATAATTTGAGCAATTTAATGTAGTCAAGGATGACTGAATCAATAAGAGGTTGATGATAGTGTCAGTATGTATGAAAAGTAATGTTTAGGTAAATGAAAGTGATGGATCTTTGCCCTGAAATAGAAAGTAGGTCAATTTAAATAGTGCTGTGCATACATGTGCACTTGTGAATGAGGAAGTACTGTGCTCTACTGTAAAAGTGAAGTACATTAGCCTTCAACACCAAAATTTTGAATGTATTAGACAGAAAGTAATGACAAGGAGACTCATATTGAATGAGATAATGAATCTTGACTTTCAGTGTGCTTGAATGCTGCTTGTTGCTCCCCCCTGTCCCATACTTGCATTAACTCATCCACTTTTTCAAACATATCTCCCCCTATCCATTATCTTCCATCATACCCCTGGCATGCAGTATTACCATGGTGCTTAGGCAAACAAAACACAGTCCTGATACAGTAGTTCCCTGTCCATAATACTCATTGACTCCAAAGTAAACTAACCCAACCATTAGGATAGGGCCCTTTAATCCTTTTGGTCTGACTCCCAGTGAGACAAAAATGTGATGATTGGGTTGGGGCTTCTTAGGATTAAGGCTCATTTAGCTTGCAACCCATTTACATATTCCAGATCTTTAACAACAGAACTACAAGTACAGAATACTGTACCTCAAGTTATGATATAAATACTGTACTGTATTTACATAATTTTATTATTTTTTGCAATAATTCGTGATTTACATCATTATTTCTACCTGAATATATTTTTAGGATTACAGTGAACCCTCACTTTACGCGGTCAATTGAACCTACGGAGGCCTGCGTAAAGCGAGAAACGCGTAAAGTGAACAACATAACATATGGGATTAAATGAAATAGAGACTGGCTGACCCCCAAACTCCACTTTTTCCGACACAATGCCTATGTTCTAGTAAAAATAACATCTTAATTTTATGATGGTACATGCACACAATTAATACTTAAGAGAAATAGAGAAATACAGTCGCCAAGTTAATGTCCATTCAAATAATGGACTCCACTCCCTCCCCCTCTCCCTCTTCTCACACTCACTGGCTCTTCCCTCTCTGAGAAATGTTTAGGGGAAAAACCACTAGATTTTAAGGTATAGTAATAAATAATACCTCAAACTAAAGTTAGGATAATATAATTGACATTGCTGGATTCCTTGTAAGACCAGGAATATTTTGAATATATATGTCACATATTTTGCACAAAAGATAACATATTTACTCAGATTAAAAAAAATACTTAAAGTAGATCTAAATTTGTATGTCTAATGCAAAATCTATGATGTTTATATTCAAAATGATCATCAAATTGTAAGAATTCCAGCATTGTAAATTATACTCTGGCCGGGTAATTTGTATGAATTTTATGAGCTAAAACAAATATCTTCAGTTAATAAAAAAAAAAAATATTCTTCACGACACTATCTGTCAATCAAAGTACCCCACCTTGCCTCCCCCCCTCTTCCAACCATGCCAGATGGTCAGTCGGTCCCTCCCTCCCCCCCACCCCCCACCAACCCTCCCTACCAGTAAAATGTGTGGGAGAAACCAGAATATTTACCTTTTTAGTAATAAATAATACCTCAGACTAAAGTTAGGATAATATAATTGACCTTGCTGGATTCCTTGTAAGACCAGGAATATTTTGAATATAAATGTCATATATTTTGCACAAAAGATAACATATTTACTCAGAGTAAACAAAATACTTGAAGTAGATCTAAAATTTGTATGTCTAATGCAAAATCTATGATGCTTATATTTAAAATGATCATCAAATTGTAAGAATTCCAGCAATGTAAATTATATTCTGGCCCGGTAATTTGTATGAATTTTATGAGCTAAAACAAATATCTTCAATAAATAAACAAAATATTCTTACCGAAATACTATCTGTCAATCAAAATACCCCACCTCCCCCCCTCTTCCCACCTGCTCCCTGGGTCCCTCCCACCCTCCCTACCCCTCACCCCCACCTTCCCTCCCTACCAGAGAAATGATTGGGTTATAACAGTATATTTACATTTTTAGTAATAAATAATACCTCAGACTAAAGTTAGGATAATATAATTGACATTGCTGGATTCCTTGCAAGACCAGGAATGTTTTGAATATACACTTCATATATTTTGCACAAAAGATAACATATTTGCTCTGAGTAAACAAAATACTTGCATTAGATCTAAAATTTGTATGTCTAATGCAAAATCTATGATGCTTATATTCAAAATGATCATCAAATTGTAAGAATTCCAGCAATGTAAATTATATTCTGGCCGGATAATTTGTATGAATTTTATGAGCTAAATAAAAAAATTATACTTCACCCGCGTATATGAGTAGATGCACCGCGTAAAGTGGGAATTCCGGTTCTGGCAGGGTACCGGCAGGGTACTGCGTACATGTAGAAACGCGTAAAGTGAAACCGCGTAAAGCGAGGGTTCACTGTCCAGTATGTTTAATTTAATTATTGGGTAGAAAACATGAAATTACCCATTATGTTTGAAGAAAATAAACATTTCATACTGTATGTCCTAAGCAGTTTGACTGGCTACAGCATGTCATAATGAAAATATTTACAAGCCAACTGCATCTTTTAAATGCAGCTCTACATTTCAACAGAGTTCTCCTGCAGTTTATTCCCTTTTCTAAGTGATTACTGTAGAGTACTGCCTTATTTAGAGATGTTAGGAAAATGACTAGTAAGTGAAGTGAGCAGTATCAACACATTAGTGGTAAGAGACCCCACAAAGCCTTTACTGGGTACAGTACTTTAAATGATAAGTTGGAAGTGATAAGCTGCTTTGAGATTGGCAAAATGATGATGATTGTCTGTGAAGTTTTGACTGTCTCATTTGACTGCAAAAGTTATGAATGAAATTACAGTTTTGTTGTTCATTACATTATTGCCTTTGTACAGTAAACTTAAATTGAAATTTTAATGCATATGAATATTTAAGTTGTGTTGTAAGTTGTAATTTTATAATGTGTTGAAATTAGTTTTTAAGTGAATAATCAGTGGATTTGTATTATTCAATTAAAATTTTTATTTTTATGTATATCACCAAAACAGTTTACCTCTAAAACCCTTGTTGTGTGACTTGATAATATGACCGCCCCCCTCAACCTAGATGTGTGACAACTTCCATTTTATGCCATCATGCTTTAGTTTCTTCCCTTCATTCATTAATACTGTACTGTATATTGTATTTCCTATGGTGCAGTGACTGTAGAGGAATGTAGCTCTTCAGGTATACATGGATCTGCTTTGTGTTACTCTGTTTCATTTAACATGAAGCTTTTCCATACCATGTTAATATTTCTAATTTATTGTGAGTCATCATTTCCTGAGAGTATTTTCTCCACCTTCCATGTACTTGTTCTCTGATAGGCAAATTACTTTACAAGAGCGGGGTTGCGTTGAAAAGAGATATTTAAGATTTTTTTGTTTTGTTTGTCAGTTTATTTAGGAAAAAAGATAAGTTTTGTGTTAACAAATATAATTATCACACAGGATGCTCCAAACTTCCTGGTTGAAGCAGAATTGCGGAGTCATGAAACACCTGTGGTGGTGGTAGAGGAACAGCCAGAAACTGCTGATACATTAGACACACTCCTTATTGATACCTCAGAGCCAGAGCCACCACCTATACCACCACATCCTGATATTATTGATTCTCACAATGGGTAAGTAACCATAATTTTTGACCTAATATCCACCTCAATGAAACTTGTACAGGTTGCCATTGTTTGTCACAAAGGTTCCATTCCAGAAAATTCCTGTAATGTACAAGATTCTTATACGATTCCTGAACTGTATCATCTTGATTATGCAATTGGGCTGAGGGCCTTAGGACTCACAACTCTTCAGACAAGATACAATAGGGTGGATCTTGTAGAGAATATTCAAAAATCTTGAGAGGGATGGGAAACATTAACCCAGGTTTATCATATGCAAATGTGTGTATGAATAGTGTACAGTAATATACCACTTAGCAACCAGGATCCATTTCCGAAAAAGAGAGCTCTTACAGAAGCGGCATTAGAAAGGGCCATTACGGTATATACAGAGATGTATTCTTTTAATCATTACACTTACCTATGGGTGACATATGAAAGCTTCAAGGGGGCATTGTACTGGTAAGCAAATTTTTACAGTACAATATTAAAGTATTTATTTAACTAAATGAACACATCATGTTGTATGAAATTGTATGTCTTTTAAGTGAAGTACAATACCATATATGTGAGAACAATTCATAATAAATAGCAATTAGGAACACAACTTATGGTAATTTTGGCATGGTAACAAAATGACTGAGATATGATCCATAACATTCTCACTCTAATTATTATATGACTTTTTTACCATCATTACATGTTAAGTTTGCCTTCTGAATGATTCCTGCCAGCACTATACAGTAGTAAGAATATTTTGGTAATTTCTCAATTATTGACTTGAGGAGTGCAGGGAGTCCGTGTGATATGTACAGTCGCGGACTCCTCCACGTTGAACACCCAGCCAGACGACCAGAGAGGTAGAATCAGCTGACAATCTGGTAACAGTGTGTGTGTGCGGGGGTGGGTGGGAGGGGAGGGGGGGGGGAGTACTTGAGTTCCGTGTTGTATTATAATATCATATATTATTTCAACACAAAAGAGTGATGGAAGTGGAAGAGGTGATTATGGTAGGAATACGTATTTACAGTTGCATTGCATTGTTTGATTTATTGAGGTGTAATTGGTTATCTCTAATCTAAGGCTCCAAAGCCAGAGAAACACGTAACCTTTACCTCCCCGCACTACTGCTGCCCTTCCTCAGGTAAGGACAGTATGGGAAAACAGGTGCCAGTCAATGATTGATGTTGACCAATTTCTTAGTTATAATTATTATCCACATCCGACATATAACTTTAAGCTGATACATTTTTTAGGTGATTCAACTGCTCTTATATGAACATTATATTTCATGAAAGCATTAATAGCGTATAATGAAACCATATGCTGTCATAAGTCACGTTTCGACCTAGCCTCGCACCGGGTAAACCAAAATGACCTCTTTTTATATGGTGATTCTAGTGGTATGGTGCTATGAAAGATACTGACAATTAGTTGCCAATGACGTGTAGGTGAGTAATGCTATCCTTTATAATGTTACCTTGTGGTGCTGGGCCATCTGTAACACACACACAAGGTCACCATCAACCACACCAAAACCGTAGTCATGCACTTCAATGCCGCCACCACTCCAGTGCAAGCCCAGCAGTCACAGTGGGTGCCCATCCTCTCCAGTTAGTGCAGTCTGCCAAACTCCTCGGTGTTACCATAGACCACAAACTGGACTGGAAGGCCCATGTAAACAACACAGTCAAGGCAGCCTCGTACCGACTCTACATGCTACGACGGCTTAGGTCACTTGGGGCACCCACGCCAGAGCTGAGGACTATCTACAATGCCTTTATTCTCCCCAAACTAACGTATGCATCACCAGCCTGGTCATCTTCTCTCAACTCTACCCAACAACGTCGGCTAGAGAAGGTACAGAAAAGGGCCTGCAGAATCATGCTCGGCGCAGACTACTCCGGCTACAACAACGCTCTCTCCACCCTGGAAATGCCATCCCCCAGTGACCTCCACCACCAAGCACTAGCAAGGTTTGGCAGTGGGCTACTGCACCATCCTCGTCATCGCCACCTCCTGCCACCGGCAGTCCCCCGCCCACCTCGCACAGTCCGCCACTACAACAAAATTCAGCCCAAAAGAGGCCGCACCGATAGATATAAGAATAGCACCATCCCATCTATTATTAAAATAATAAACAACTCCTGATTTATGTATTGTACAGCCCTGTAAATGTATTCAACACATATCATTATGTCTAAATCAAATGTAAGTTTGTATATTTTCAGCCACCGGCTGCAACTCTATTAATAAACCGTTTATTATTATTATTACGTATTATTATTATTATTATTATTATTATTATTATTATTATTATTATTATTATTATTATTAATTATTAATTATTAATTATTATTATTATTATTATTATTATTATTATTATTATTATTATTATTATTATTATTATTATTATTACACACAAGACAGTGAGTGGTGGAGGAAGTTTTCATATTACCAAATTGCTGAAGATCAGCATAAGCCCATTCGAACAAAAAACTTTCACAGATTAAGCTGGGTATTGGGGTGATTGCAGTGGGTCATAGCTGATTCAAGGATTGTGGGCTGGATGACTTGGGCACAGGTGACACGTAAGAAGTCTTCCAGTCAGCTGGGCATCTGGTTTGACTGAGAGAAGCATTAATTATGGAGCAGAGGGTTTTTAGCAAGCTCCGGGGATAACTCCTTGAAGAGTTTCATTGGTAAGTCAATGGGGGTGGTGGAGCATTTTAACTTTCGTTTGTCCAGATGTTTTGCTACTTCAAATTCCTCTACTAAGTCAGTGGGAAGGGGGGCTGGTAGGTAAGCAGGGAGATTGGTTGTGTCAAGCCAGGGGAGCGTCTGGCATATAGTAGCTAGGTGGGGAAAAGCTCAAACTGCAGGGCATTTCAACATAGTGACAGTGCAAAAAGTAGGATTTACTGGGAGTGAATACACTGGTTTATTACAAGTTATTGATCATTTTTACAATGGTTGGACCCTATTTCTCGATATATCTCGACACTACTGTACAGGAATTTGTTTACTGAACTATGCAAGGATGTAAGCCTTTTCCTCACAAGACATGTTCTTGGGACCCATGGTGATTGTTCTTTGAAAAAAAAAAGGGGGGGGGGGTTAGTATAGATTTTTTTTTTCATAAAAATGTGGCAGAATCTGATGCAGCCACCAGAGATTGCGGTAAACACACACTCTGTGTGAGGATCTTTTACTTGAGGCCCAAGCCATCAATGAGTTCACAGATGAAAATTTATGCTCTTAATTCAGTTTGGTTGGCAGTAATCAATCTAATTTTAGCTTAAAAATATCTCAAATTATGTAGCTGGGATCGATAATTAATTTTTGCGGACACCGTAGACCAGTCTAATTACTGGGTGCTTCTAAGTTTGGTCCCTCTTTTAACATATGTTTGTCTGGCAATTCAGGTTAAGTTTTAAAATGTAGTACAGTAAGATCTTGTATTTTCTCGAGTAATCTGGACTGGAAAAATTTTGGCAAATTCAAATACTTAAACTAATGGGAAAAATAACAATATAGACTGGCCACTCTACATCAACCTCTGATTTTCCCATTTATAACCTCCAAATTATACAAATTCTGCCTTTATTGACCTAGTTGTGCTTTCCTGAAACTAGTTTTTAGGCCTTCCTCAAGTAATTTAATCACATGCTGCTTATCCTGCATCGAGTACTTGGCAAACTTAACTCCCTTATGATAGTCCCGCTTCTCCTTGTCCTTATTGGGCCGCTTAGGTGGATCTGTCCCACCCCCACCAGCACCAGTAGGACCCCCAGTAGAGGTAGAGGCTATTATCGTGACTCGACAGGTGGTAGCACCACCCAAAAAAGAAGCATACAATAGCAGCCCGGTCGGTCGCTAGGATGATGCGGGCTACAACGCGATAATTGCGTTCTTGTAAACTCTTTTACCTTCACCACCGGCAATTCGATCACGAGAACGCTTCTTGGAAATATTCTTCTTACCTTGTCTTTCCATATTCATCGCTAACAACAAAATTGGAGAAAACAGCGAAAGTCACGGAGTAATCGACAGAAACCTCGCGATTCAACTGATCGCGTGATGTAAACAGAGAGCGCTGGTGTAAACCGTTATTAGTCTGCACTGTGAAACATTCTTTATACTTATTCTTTTCATACAGTATTTATGGGTAACAGCTAAATTTGCAAAAAAAAAAAAAAACGAAATTTACAGAGTACCTCTCAAAAAACACTTCACAAACAAACTACACGAATCAATTGAACATGTGATGTCGAACGTGAACTGTAATCATTGCATAGCCCCGTGCCACGCTTAAAACGTTGAGGATGGAATCAAAACATTGAGGATGGAATCACGCGATAGCCAACATTCGTATGCAAAAGTTTGCGTTTTACAAGCAACATAAACCCTATTCATCAATCGCATTGCAACCAATTTGCGTTGACAAAACACGTGTTGTAGCAGAAATGACTGTAACTGGTATGAGGGCTGTGACGTCATTCAAGACGGTGGCCAGCATTCAGCTGGCTGGATCTCGCAAAATTCACGATATTTTACCCCAAATATAAGACTTGGTTACATTAGGCAGTGTTCGCGAAATTCAAAAACGTGAAACGAAATTGCGCAAAATATGAGATCTTACTGTACTATTGAAATCTATTTGATATTTCACATTAGGATCTTAAACGACTAAGTAGGTCTTTTCATGTCGGTTGGAGTGGCTAGGTGTGAATAACCCATGAGTGCGAAAGGTTGCTCATGTTCAAGACACCCTATTAGGTTCCCTATTCATATTAAAGTAGAATCCCAGATATCAAGAACCTATGAGGGTTTGAAAGCTGCCAGATAAAGAGATTTTCCAGTTCATTGAATCTCGCTCTTAGGATCTCCCAATAAATTCTTCAATGCACAGTGCTATGGGCTGACCTCGCAAATTCGTGTCTCAGAAGTCTATTTTTTCCACAAATCCATACATTTCCATGAGCGTTCCCCTATTACTGAGTTTTTTGATTGTCTGTGTTCGTTTGAGGAAAAATAAATAAATATAATTTACATATGAAAATGCATGGATTTGCAGAAAAATGGACTTCTTTAATACTTATTCCACTGTATATAAATGATGTGGCTTAGAAATAAAGAAAATATAATGTAAAGCTATAAAATAAGGAAAATGAAGAACATGGGTGTGTACAGTATGTATGTGTGGGAAGTGAATGTGTGTGGAGGCAGTGGGCTATAACTGTGTGTTCATTCTCAGTCCCTCCCTTGATGTGACGTCATTGCATACACAGCACAGCGTGGCAACCACACGTCTGTGAGTCAGCTGGGTGACTGTATGGCTGAACTGTATCATGTCACCCAGATGATGGTTTGAGTGTAGAAGAAGCTATTTTTTTATATAAAACATGTGCTATTGTATTTTATTGTTTATCACAGCACTAAATATGGCAGCTCATCCCTGTTGTGCTCAGTATTCAAATTATGATTCTAGGTGATTTGGGAGGAATTTGTATTTGTACTTTATTATTATTATTATTATTATTATTATTATTTTTTTTTTTTTTTATTATTATTATTATTATTATTTGATTTGGTCCAGGTTATTTAAATCTGGTGGTTACCTGGACTTAAGATAATTGGGATTCTACTGTAATTGTTATGCATTGAAGTACAGTACAGTACATTGATCATAAATTTTTTAACGGTTGTGAGAGGATTTTAGATAATGTTATTTAGATTTACGGAGCAAATTCTGATCTTCAGTTTTTAGGAGGAGAAGAGCTTTGTTTCTAAGTGAATGTGTGTGGATTCTTGCCTACAAGTAAAGAGATGTAGCTGATTTATTCAGTCAGGTAATAGGAGGTAAAGAGGCCCAACTAGTTTGAACCATGTGAAAAACTTCCTTGCCACTGGTCCTAGGACATTTTGCTGAATATGTACATGATCTGGTTATTGGTAAAGAAGCCTCTTATCTAGAATTGGATATGGTGACTTCAGTCTCTAGTGATGCTTGGATGTTAGTGACTAAGGAAATTAAGTTAGTTAATATAGAAGGAGTTTGGAGAAGACAGGCATTTAACTTGCTGCTGAGAGTAAATGATGCTTCAGGAAGGGTTATGTAAGGAGTTAGGTTGAGGAAAAACAATGTTTCAGGGTTTCAGTTTTTAATGTAAAGGTAAACTTCCAATTTTAGGACCAGTAGCAGGTTGCACATCTAAGAGGTCTTCTATTGTGGAGTTTACATTAAGGGAAGATAATCTCAGCCATTCTGTTTTAAATGTTTTCATGTCAACTCCTTTACTCTTAAGGTCCTTTACTGGATAAGTTGTCATCCACTGCTGATCTTCTGAAACTTACTGTTGGTTCACTGAGCAAAATGCTGATTCAGCTTAAAATGCCATTCACGTTTTACCTTACTTTTTTTAAGGCTGGAGTCTAAGTCAGACTGGAGGCAGCAAATAAAGAGCTAGTTCCTGAGGGATTTTCTTTTAATATTTTTTATTCTTCTCAAGCCCATTCTCACTATCTCTGTTGGGGCAGAACAGTTGGACATTATGGAAAGTTAGTTAAAAGCAAGGGGCTTGAACATTCAGGAGAAGACCTTAGGTGGGTCTTCCTCTGTCTTATATCCCATAAGAATCCTTTGAAAAAGTCTCAGTAGTGCAGCTCCTGGCAATTATTAGCTTTTTCATGGAGGGCTTAGAAACTGTAGATATTTTAAGAAAAGAATTATAAAATGGGATTTTCAGGATCAGTCCTTGATTTACTTAAATGTAATTGAACTTATTGGTTTATTGTGCCACACAACATTCACAGCTCCTGGACCCTTCTTTGATCCTGGGGCTACATGAGGCTAGCAAATGTAATATGGTGTGTGATGTGCAGAACTATTCACAGGTGTAGTTTTGGGCTGAAGTCAAAGTAGCCTTTACCTTCTGGGAAGATGCTTCCTAAAATAGTTTTGAGTAAAAAGTAACTGTCATCATATGTTTACAAATAGGTCCCTGGCTGAAGTAGTTGCAGAACGGGAGTCGCTTATTGAAGCTCTCCATGGGGAATTAGAGGCCATGCGTATTGAGGTGCAGCAGTCACGTTCACATGCTACACATAATGAAGAGCAACTCAGACTCCGCATCAATGACCTTGAGTCCACAATTGCTGAACTGGTGGGTTATGGCAGGTAGTCCTGTACTACATATTTTGTGTGACAAGTGGAATTATATTTTAATATTTTGTGACCACTTGGCATAGACCAAGCAGTTATAAAACTTATAATATTAGCCATATATACATAAATTTCTTTAACGTGTAATAAAGTATTTGAAGATAACCTCTGCTTAGGGTAAATATCTCATACCTGTTCACTCCATACTCAGCTTAAAGATGTTATTAAGTTTTTATATCAGAAAAGAGTGTCCATTACCTCCACTATAACTGAGAAATGCCTCTGCTATATGCAGTCTCCATTGCACAACCTTTGATCATAAAAGATCACTGATTCACTCTTTCATATGAAGTCTGCCTTTCCTCCTTTTACTTTGAAACATATTATCAAACTCCTCATTACAGTGATATCACCATTAGCCAAACAACTGGTGCAGAGCAATTCTGGGAATGAGAGATTTCCTGGAAATGAGACGACTCTCTCAAACCCGGAAGAAATCCCCCATCCCCCGAATTTTCTCATAATTTTTCAGAATGATGCATTATTTCATCTCTCAAAGCCGGATAAAATCTCCCATTCCGGGAATTTTCTGTAATTTTCCAGGTAGGGTACCTGAAATTTTTTTCTCGGAATTTCCGGAAGATGACCCTGATTTTCATCTCTCAAACTCGGAAAAAATTTCCATCCCCGGAATTTTCTGGGAGCCAAGAAAATTTTCTCTGAATTTTCTGGAAAATGTGCCCATCGGAAAATCATTCCCAAAGCTGGAATTTTCCGGAAAATTCCTGCTTTGGGAACGATTTTCCAAGAAAATTTCAATTCCGCTATCGGAGAGTTCCGGTTGACGGAGATATTACTGACCTTCCCTCCCTATCATATGCTCTTGAATCTCATCATCCTTATTGTCCTCACTCTTCTCTACACATAATGCATATTTTTTCATAAACTATACATACTGTATTTTCCTTTGTGTTTAGCATTTGGTAGAATATATTAGGTTCTCTATCTGTTGGTCTCTTCATGAATTTTTTAATTACATATTTGTCTCTTGTTGTTTCTCTAACTTACACTGCTTGAGATATTGACTTAATTAGGTGTGTGATTGTAAGTCTCGGATAAAATAAATAATCTTAGAAATATATTTAAGTTTTAGAAAGTTTTAATTTTTCAGGACTTATAATAGCCAGTTGACTGTAAAAAACAGTTCATGTCTTGTTGCTTCATTTACCAATGTCTATTGTAAGTTAATAAAATCCCACAAGGTAATGATAGTTTCTCTAGTCACTGAGGAAATTTATCAAACCCTTTGTTACTACATCATCACCACCATTTTATGGCCAGTGTCCATACTTGAGTTGGTTTGGGATAGTTGTGAATACCTGATGGCACTGTGTCCTGGTTATCATCAGGTAATAATGATGAAATTTAACAAAAATTCTTTTTGCTGAAAAATATCTCGATGTTGGAAGCAACAGTGACTATTTGTGTAATGATAATGTTTTGACTATGCGGTGCAATACAGTACTAGCAATAACTGACATTCATGGGATTGCACTCTAAATACTGTCAATCATCTTTCCTCTGCTCCCTCTCATCCTCAACATGTTATGGCCATTTTTTAACTTATTTTTTACACCCTGTCCTCATGTCAATCTCAGCCTACTCCTAGCTCCCACACAATGGGTTGAAATCAAGGGAAACAAAAACATTGATAAAGTGTGGAAATGGTGCAGGAGAGTGGTGGTGCGAGGAAAGAGCAAAAAGCAACAACAGATGGTTATAAAACATGTAGGATACTTGAACAATTTATATACACTTCCTCATAGTCTCAGCTTGAATAAGAAGTATAATAAGTGAGTCCTTAGTTTCCATATTGACTACAAAACTTCATATCTATTCAATGGGGCTTCTAATACAGTACCTCTGTCATGTAAGAAACAGTTTGATTGTACCTGATCCACAATCATTCTTCTAGCAATATCCAAATAAACAGTTTGACCTCACGGATTCATTAATGTAGTTTGTTCATCTTGTCAGTTTTCAACCCTCTCTCAAACCTCTAAGTATGCTGACATAAATATTCCTACCAATTCCTCACCTGCCATACACCCCACTCACCCATACCACTATCAGGTAATCTGCTTTCCTTAGTCTTTCCCCCACATAGAGTTTTAGTAAGAGAAAAAAGTTAAGCTTTACTAAATCCAATTTTTTCTGTTTAAAACTGAATAGTTTGGTAGAGGAAGAATTCACATATGCTGTCCTGTATTTAAAGACAAGTTTGGGTATTGTTAGGATCAGTAAATGTCCTTGAGGGAGCTGTAGCAATTCCATTAGTCCTTCAGTAAGTTGTAGCAAGCAAAAAAATTGAGAACTGGCTTCTATGAATCAAAATTTCTTATCTTCCCTGTCAAATTTAGCAAAAAATTTTCCCCAGCACTGTATTTCACCTGTAAGTGATTTTATTTATTTTTTATAGAACTCTTTATTAGGAGTAATTGTTGTCTTCATGTAAGAAAATTATCTCAAAGGTATTCATTTGTTGCTTTGAAGCACTGTGACTATATCCAAGTGGTTAGATTCTTATGTGAATTCTAATATGGATCTTTCAAGTTCATTATCATTATGTTTTTATTACATTCTTCAAGAAAATTTTCAGGATGTGCATGAATGTTGTGTTTGTGTGAGAATCTCCATAAATCCAATTATATTTTACTTGTAACCATAAGATATTTTTTCTTCGTGTTAACAGGATAGTGAACTCTTGGCTGAGAGACATAGTAAGGAATCAATCATTGCACAAGTAGAGGCCGCAGCAGCAAGTGCAGAAGCTGTTACAAAATTGGCTGATGAGGAAACAAGAAGACGTTCAGCGGAGGAAAAATTTGTCAAGATGAAGGATGTTTATCAGAAGCTGCGTGATGAGCATATAAATCTTATCAGAGGGGTAATGTTTTGTAATCTTTGTAGTATTCAATAGATATTAATTTTTATACCTTTCCAATTGTAATAATTTTAATGTCACCATCTTACTTTACATTTCATCTCTTTAAACATAGCAGAGTAAATCCGTTGCCAATGCTGAGGATTAAGTTCTAGAATTCTCCCTCACTTGGTCAAACCACAGTTAGTAAGGGCTGGGCTAGGGGATTAGGAGAGTGACCCTTCAGGAACACTACTGTTTGACAGCTGTAAGTAGATATGTATTCAAACTTCAAGCAGATAAGGGCAAGAGGTTGGCAGTATGGGGTGTAGGACAGAGCAGGAAGTTGAAAGGAAGGAAAGTGGGCAAGGCAGGACACTGAGGTATGATGAGTATGGCAGGTGGTGTAAAGGGCACCCAGGGTATTCAGGGATCATGGGTAGAGCAGGAGGTGGATGGTGATACTCTTTTAGGACAGATTAGTTAATATATCCAAATTTTACCTTGTGGTATTTACAGTCCTTGGGAAGGTAGCCCCTCAGCTTATGCAAGAACTGTTGTATTCTTCAAGTCACTACAGTATATCAACCTTATCCTTCTCTTTAATGTCAACACCTCTTCTTTTTGGAAGTCCTCTCTGTCAATTTCACTTTTTCACTTCTCAGCTTTTATCCTTTCTTCATAGAATAGTAAATTAATGTTTAACCATCTATAGCATAAACAATATTGTAGATATGGTTTTTGAATTTACAAGTTATTTCTTTTTTCAGAAAGCCGAGTTAGATAAACAACTATCTGTGGAGCGAGAAGCACACACATCCACCCAGCGGTCAAGGGGTGAGCTCGCAGCTGCATTAAATAAACTCCAATCACAGGTGGCACAGGACACACAGACTCATCGTAATCAGTCCCAGATGGCTGAGCAGGTGTGCAAATATAGTTGTATTTCTCTTGCATTTGTTTGTCATGCTTGAGTCCTTTAGATAAGTGGCTGCTGTGACAGTGCAAGCCAGCTTGGGGAACGGGGGCAGCTTGACTCATGCCACCCCCCAAACTGATGTTGGGGGGTGGTCTTATGATTGATTATCCCTTCTCATCACAATCATCACCCTTGGAAGGAGGAGATTGTAAGCAAAGGGTGCTGTTTAGAGGTTGTTTTATGGTATTTGTGCACTAAACTCCAAAACATTCATAAATAACTACTAGTTTGAAGATAAGTGATTTTTAGAATTTTACTGTTTAGTAGCATTAGATAAGCATTCAACAAACAAACTTTCCAGCCCAAAATTGTCCTTATTTTAAAAGTTGATTTCCATGACTGGATGCAACGCACCACAACTTGTATTCCGCTGTTACATTTTGTTTGTGGTGGGACATCACCCACACAATAAAAGTTATAACTACCCTCACAAATGGGCCTTAAGGTGGTGCAATATTATTTTTGCTAACAGACATTAACACTAAGAATAGATTGTAGCATGAAGCAACCTGACGTAGTTAAGTTCAGAGTTTTAGGTCTGAATGTTGGTACTATGTGGGAATGAATTGGTGAGTTTGTTGAGGCACAGAGTCATAGAAAGGTTGTCTGTTGTGTACAAAAAACTAGATAGAAAGGAGGATCAACAAGGTTAATAACTAGTAAGAATTACTGTTACAAAATCTGGTTTAGATGGTGTCGGGATCTGGATTGCTGAAAAATGGATGGAGAAACATCTGGAGGGGAAAAGGGTAAATGTGATAATTTTGGTTTTGAAGTTGCTGGTATGTAAGAGCATAGTAACTGTTCATCTGCATAATGCCCCACAGGTTAGTGTAAGTGAGGAAGAGGATAAGTTCTGGGATGAGTTGCTGCTTGTAGTGTCAAAGCTTGGTTTCAGGGAAATTAGAGTACAGTACTGGTTGGTGACCTAAATACAAAGTTGGTGAACACACATTAAGTTAGTCATAAATATGATTACAGGAGGTGAATATGCCTTCAGTATAGACTGCCTTTGTGAGAGTTTTAAACATTTATTCATGAAGTGAAATATGAAATCATAAAAAGTTGAATGTATATTGATATATTTATCTTTCCCTTTTCAGGAAGTACAGTTATTAAATGAAGGAATATTAGCAGTTACTGCAGAAAGGGACCGAATGATTGGCCAGGTGAAACACCTACAGGATAGTGTATCACAACTTAATAACCAAATGGAAACTCAAGCTCAGCAAGCTGCTTCCCAGGTAAGATGAGGGTTCACTTAGAAGTAAGAGAAGAGAAATTAAAGTGTATTTGCATGTATGAATTTCAAGACATGATTTATGGATATATTTCACTCACCTACACCTCTGTATATTGTTATCCTAGCTGATGTGGGACTGTACAGGGCCCGGCATTGATTTTAGCGCTGTGAAATATCGTACGTTTGGCATACCTCGTTAGAATGGACTACCTACCTACCTTGTTAGAATGGACAGCCTAGAAAAGTTAGAGATCAAAGAAAAGTAAGCTGTAATGAGAAAGAGAACATAAGGATAAAATTAGCTATAATACGTGGGATGGGATACGACTTTTCAACCTCTGTGTGGTGTAACGGATGGAGGTTAGATGCAGAGAAAAGTAAGCCATAATGAAAGAGAACCTAAGGATCAAAGTTGCTGTAAATCATAGGAGGGAATACGACTTTTCTATGTGTGTGCATCCTGACTGACCGTTAGTCTCTCTTTCTCTCGTTCTCTCAGGCGTGTCGGGTCGGGTTGGGTTAGTTGGATCGGGTTGGTTGGAGTTTTTTGAGATCCCCACATGACACTTGCTATCCATGCCAAGTTTGGTCCAGATCGGTAAAGTAGTTTCCGAGATTCTCATGCGGACACACAGACAAACAGACAGACAGACAGACTTCTTTGTTTTATATATATATATATATATATATATATATATATATATATACAGTTGTACCCCACTTAACGCGGTCAATTGAACCCAGAGGGTCCCGCGTTAAGTGAAATCCGCGTTAAGTGAACAACAGAACATATGGGATTAATTCCAATAGAAACCGGCCCGACCCCCAAACTCCACTTTTTGAAGGCACATACCTATGTTGTAGTAAAAATAACATCTTAATTTTATGATGGTACATGCACACAATTAATACTTAAAGAAATAGAGAAATACAGTCGCCAAGTTAATGTCCATTCAAATAATGGACTCAACTCCCTCCCCCTCTCACACTACACAGCCGGCTAACAGATGGTCGGTCGGTCCCTCCCTCCCCCCCCCACCCCCCACCAACCGTCCCAAGGAGATGTGTGGGATAACCTCAAACTAAAGTTAGGAAAATATAATTGACATTGCTGGATTCCTTGTAAGACCAGGAATATTTTGAATATAAATGTCATATATTTTGGACAAAAGATAACATAGTTACCTAGAGAAAAAATTTTTATCTAAAAATTGTAAGTTTAAAGCAAAATATATGATGTTTATATTCAAAATGATCACCAAATTATAAGAATTCCAGCAATGTAAATTATATTCTGACCGGGTAATTTGTATGAATTTTATGAGCTAAAACAAATATCTTCAGTTAATAAAAAAAAAAATAATCTTCACGACACTATCTGTCAATCAAAGTACCCCACCTTGCCTCCCCCCCTCTTCCAACCGCGCGGTCAGTCCCAACCCTCCCCCCCACCAATCCTCCCTTCCAGAGTTTTTAACATTTAGTATTAAATAATACCTCAGATTAAAGTTAGGATAATATAATTGACATTGCTGGATTCCTTGTAAGACCAGGAATATTTTGAATATAAATGTCATATATTTTGCACAAAAGATACCATAGTTACCTAGAGAAAATTTTTTATCTAAAAATTGTAAGTTTAAAGCAAAATATATGATGTTTATACAGTTGTACCCCACTTAACGCGGTCAATTGAACCCAGAGGGTCCCGCGTTAAGTGAAAACCGCGTTAAGTGAATAACAGAACATATGGGATTAATTCCAATAGAACCCAGCCCGACCCCCAAACTCCACTTTTTGACGACAAATAACTATGTTGTAGTAAAAATTCTATCTTAACTTTATGGTGGCATGAAAAACAAGTAATATAGAAGAGGTTAGGTTAGGAAAGATAAAGGTTAACATAGGAAAAATAAAGAATAGGTTAAAAAACGAAAAGTTTTAAGGAACACTCACGGTAGTAGAAGAGATGGGTCGGCATACGGGGATGGAGGCTGGTTCCGAGGCAGAGGGCAGATTACTGCCCCTCAGGTGAATCACCATTACTAGGTGAATCACCATTACTAGGTGAATCAATATCACTGTCACTTACAGTTGTCATGGCTTCCCTGACAAATCCCTCAAAATCACCTTCACTATCACTATCACTGCCTTGGGCTGGCTGTGGTGGGTTGCGGGCGAAGAACTCGGTTATGCTTTGCTGACGGCTGGCTTTGATGTTTTCATGATACACCGTGATGTACGGCTCCATAGCCTGCACCAGTCGGTTATGGAAGACGTCATGGCGTTCATCGTCAGTGTCGCGGGAAACGATGGACTTAATTTTTTCTGTTAACTCTATGACACACTTAATATCACTATGACTTAAACTAGGTTCTTCGGAGAATGACGCACCTTCTTCCTCCTCTTCACTGGCGGGTTCTTCTTCCAACATCTCGTCGGCAGTCACTTCAGGATCTCTGATCACCTCCATGATGTCTTCGTTGGTGGTCTCGGAGAAGCCTTCAGCTGTAACAGTCTGCGCAGCTTCTCTGGCAAGGTCCACTGCTACTGCAACAGTCTGAACCTGACCAGTCACAGGTTCACTCCTCCTCTCACCTGGTATGCCATGCAACACATGTCTCCATGCGTGACGAATCGTAGCAATAGACAGCAGATCCCATGCCTCCACCAAGAAGTCTACAGCTTGTTTGACGTTAAACTTCTTCCAAAATTGTTTGACGAGAAGTTCTTGAGTCGCCGCCTCTTGTTCCTTGTCCTCGTCGCTTTTACTCTCGCTGTCGGTGTCACCCAGCTTACGCAACTCATCCTTGGTGTTGGTAGAGTCGTTCAGGAGCTTGAATTTCTTTGCCGAGTATGCAGCTTTAACGTTGCAGATTAACTCCTGGTCCATGGGCTGGATTAATGACGTAGTGTTGGGAGGAAGGAAGACCACTTTTACGTTGGGGTGACGATCCATAAGTAGGGGCGAGTGTCCAGGTGCGTTGTCAAGGAGCAACAAAATATTGAATGGAACATTCTGTTGCTCGCAGAATTTCTGCACGTCAGGAACAAAAAAGTTGTCAAACCAGAAGAGGGACAGAGAAGAGGACATCCACGCCTTACGTGCGGTTAGCCAGTGGACATTAAGCTTGTTCATGTCCATATTCTTGTAGGCGTGCGGCTTGCGGGCTTTGTGAATCACCGATAACTTTGGTTTACAGGTACCGGAGGCATTGGTGGTAAACAGGACGGTGATGCGTTCCTTCTGCATCTTCCGGCCCCTTACCTTGCTCGCAGACTGGACAACGAAGGTCTTGGAAGGTAACTTTTTCCAGAAAAGACCAGATTCGTCCATGTTAAACACCTGGTCGTCAGTGTACTGTCCTTCCTCCATAATCTCACGTAAAAACGGAGGAAAATCTCTAGCCGCCGCACGGTCAGCACTCGCTTCCTCACCAACAATGCTGATGTTGGTGACCTTGTTCCTCCTCTTAAACCTATGCAGCCAACCATGGGAAGCATTGAAGGGTTTGGGCTCTGCAATTCCCAGTTTACGTGTCACTGCTGCGTATAGCTCACGTGCGTACTCCTGCACTGAGCGCGTGTCCACCGCCATGTTGCGTCGCGCCTGACGCACCAAATAACTCACCAGCAAAGTTTCCACTTTTGCCAGCACCCTGTTCTGGCAATACCTGATAGCTGAAGCACCTGCAGACTTTGTG